TTTTTGGAGAGTATGCATATTTGAAATATTATTTATTGTATTCTTACACAATTTTGACAGCTTTGGCTGGGTATAGAATTCTAATCTGAAACTAACATTCCTTTAGTCTTGAGAGCATTGTTCCATTGTGTTCTGGCTTACGGTGTTGCTGTTGAGAAATCCCAAATGATATTTTGAATGGGACATGGGACTATCCCATAGTCTCCTGCCTAATCTCTCTGAAGGCTTTTAGGATCTTCCTCTTTCCTTCAGTGTTCTAAGATTTACGATGCCATACCTTGATATGACTTCACTTTAATTCATTATTGTGGGCACTTGGGGACCCTTCCTATTTGGAAACCAACACTCTTTTATTCTGGAATGATTCTAGAATTATTTCACTAATATTACCTCAATTCTACTGCAATTCCTCTATCTTAAAATCGTAAGATTCAGATCTTAGACCTCCTAGACTAGTTCCCCCGTTTTATCTTTTCTTTACTATTTTCATGTTTTGAATCCTTGCTCTAACTTATCAGCAATTTTGTGAACTTTATGTTATAAACTTTTCCACTTCTGTTATTATATTTTTAATTTCTCAGTTCTTTTTATTATCTAAATATTCTTTTCAATTATATTTTATTATTCATCTTTCATTCTTATAATTTATTATATTTCTAATAATATTAATTACATTTTTTAGCATATAACTTTACTGATACATACATGACATATCATGTGATTCACCCATTCAAGTATTAAATTCAAAGTTATTTCAGTTAACTTACAAGTTGTGTAAAGCATCATGACAAAGCAGTTTTAGATTATTTCCATCACCCCAATGAGTTCCATCAAATCCTTTAGCTGTTAATCTCCATTCTCCTGACCTCTCCCTGCTTTAGGCAATCAATAATCCACTTTCTGTCTCTATACCTTTGCCTTTTATGGCATTTCATGGAAATGGAATCATTCAATATGTTGTCTCTTGCGTTTGTCTTCTTTCATTTAACTTGTTTTGGAGGTTCATCAAAGTTGCAGCATGTATAAGTAGTTTGTTTCTGTTACTAAATAATATTTCCTTGTGGGGATACATCACAATTTATCTCTCTGTTCACCAGTTAAAGGACATTAGATTGTTTCCAATTTTTAGCAATTATTAGTAATGCTGCTAAGAACATTTGTGTTCAAATCTTTCTGTGAATATATATTCATTTCTCTTGGATAAATACCTAGGAGTGGAAGTTTTTATTTTATGTTTTTAAATTTTCTTGTCCCTCAACAGGCTGTCTCTTCTACAAGTTTCTCTTTTTCTTCATGTTTGTCTATTTTGGTATCTATATTTCATATTAGAAGCTTTCCTGATATAGCAGGGAATTTTTAATTGTCTTATTAAAGAATAAGAGAATAATAAATTTATTGAAAGCTCTGAGTGAGTTACTTTTTATTGTTGAGTTTCATGGTGATCTGGCTGGATTACTGAACTAGACAATGTCCCATGTCTATATTTTTAGGCTCTTCCACTTGTCTTGATCAAATTCTCTAGGGAAGACCCTTCCAATTTACTGTAGAAAGGTAAATCACACAGAATATAACTTTTTCCTTAGCACTCAAAATTCGCTGTGGTGCTCCTGGCCCTCACCTCTGTCCACAGTCCCCCAGTCCACACACCAGCTCCACAGAATAAACCTTCAGTATTTGCCATTGGCGTGAAAGACAATGGCACAGTTTTTCCTGCCATCAGACAGAACGAGGATCTGAGAGCTGTCTAAGCAAAAATATGAGGCTCTCCACTTCTAATTACTGAATAAAGTTTTTACCTCCTGAAATCTGGTTTCTTCCTTGAATTCAAGTAACAGAAAATAGGCATTTTGAGCAATGATGAGTTATTTGAATTTCAAAACTTTATTTTTTTGAACCATCTAATATTTGAGAGTAATGGTGAAATGTCTAAGACATCTTTCATTTCATTAGATCCACTAAGCTCTTATTCTGTGTTTTTATATAATCAGAAAACAATAATATTTCCTTCTTTACGCAAAACTCTATTCTTTTTCTAGATTAAGATTTAATTGATGACCCCCTCTGTTTTTTGGATTCTATTAAATAGAAGATTAACGTAAGGGATATCTACTTTAATGGTACTTTTGCATCTTGCAAAACTGTAAATGAAGGGAGATACTATTTATCATCTTATCCAAAATCTCTAAATTAAAGCAGTACAGCATATACTCATCCTTTTAACGAGTGATCAGGAAAAATAAATCTTTTGTGAAATGAACTTTATCCTTTCATGTTTCAGACTATAATTACTATATAAATCAACACAGTTCTATTTTTGCCTTATTTGCCATGAAAATAAAAGAAGTTGGACTCAACTGTAGCACTCAGCATATGTTAGAAGTTGATGAATTTCTCTGCCTCTATTAATATATTTTGCTGTAAAAAATACTTGATTGTCCTATATTTATCTTAATTATTTTTACCTCAATTCTTTCTACAATAGGCAGGATATAAAATTTAAATAAAAATATATGTGCCCAAAGATGAATTGAATTCAACATAGGAAAACAGGAAGTATTATCTTTATTTAACCCAGTTTCTTTTTATCTTCCCTATGATATGTGTTTTTTATACAAGATAGAGATTTGCAGATTCAAAAGCATTTTACTGAGATGATCTTCACTTGTGATGGCAGGGTTGACCAAAATGTAGTTAAGTACCCCCTGATGACACTACAAATGCTGTTATCCTTTCCCTACCTACAATGAAAACAGCACACAATAGAGTCTTTCAATAACATAAAGTGACTAACATGGATGTGGACTTGACTAAGGCCAGAAGTTACTGTACTGAAATTCACCAAGCTTAGATGTGAGATAAGAATGTGATAATACTGTGCTGTATGAAAATCTTCTTTGCCGGGCGTGGTGGCTCACGCCTGTAATCCTAGCACTCTGGGAGGCTGAGGCGGGCAGTTTGTTTGAGCTCAGAAGTTCGAGACCAGCCTGAGCAAGAGCGAGACCCTATCTCTACTAAAAATAGAAAGAAATTAATCAGACAACTAAAAATATATACAAAAAATTAGCTGGGCATGGTGGCGCATGCCTGTAGTCCCAGCTACTCGGGAGGCTGAGGCAGAAGGATTGCTAGAGCCCAGGAGTTTGAGGTTGCTGTGAGCTAGGCTGACGCCACGGCACTCTAGCCCGGGCAACACAGTGAGACTCTGTCTCAAAAAAAAAAAAAAAAAAAAAAAAGAAAAGAAAATCTTCTTTGTACTTACCACTTTCAAAAAAAACAAAAGGTTTGTATAGACTGAATGTTTGTTCCCCCCAACCCCCATCCAAAATTCATATGCGGAAACCTAATCCCCAATGTGATGGTATCTGAAGTGGGGCTTTTGAAAGGTGATTAGGTCACAAGGGCTCCTTATGAAAGAGGCCTCTCAGAGACCCTGGCCCTTTTCACCATGTGAGGACACAGGGAGAAAACGGCCATCTGAGAACCAAGGAGCAAGCCCTCACCAGACACCTAGGGCTGGTGCCTGAATCTTCAACTTTCCAGCCTCCAGGACCGTGGAAATTAAATCGATGTTGCTTATAACCCACCCAGTCTGTGGTATTTTGTTATAGCAGCCCAAGTAGACTATGATGATGCTTGATTGCTTCGGTGCAAAAACACTTGGTCTTCTCTTAACCTTCCACCAAATAATAATTTTTAGATCCAGTATTCTTAAAATTTTAGGCATATGTGGACAAACCATCTTCCATATTTAACTATCTGGGATGTTTCTCCATTTAGGCATTCCTGACTTTCTCTGATTTGGTCTCACTTTTTGTGGTGTGATCCACAGGGACCACAGCCAAAGAAAAACTTGAAATCAGCAGGAGAGATAACAACAAAGCTTCATTTAACACCCGTGAAGCTACAGTAAAACCATAAAGAAAATCTCAGATAAACTGAACTATTTTCTGCTGGCCACTTATGTTAACTGTCAAATTATAAATTTTGACAACAACACAAAACTAAAAATCTACTACATTACTCTTATGCTTTTTATAAAGCTCTTATTTTCCATGCATGGATTGTTGATTTAATCACCAAGTGGTTTAATGATAATATAGACTACTGAAATACATATGACCGATCAAGCCTCACAGTTGAAGTAATTTTGCATAAGACCCAAAAAACAAATGGCTAACAAAAATTTCCTTAAAATTTATAATAATTGAAGTGTCTGAAGAAGAAAAATATTTCAAGAATATAAATGATAATTTATATTAAATAAGTTTATAGATATTGATAGGATAGTACATTTATCCAGAATCTTTATTTAATAAGAGATTCTGACTTAAAAGATAATGTTTTGCTAAGGGTATAAAAACTACTTAGAACCACATGAAGTGACCAAATCAAAATGTGAATATGTTTTCAGCTGCATGCACTCATCAAAATCATCCCTCCATGCTAATGGGCCCTAGTTTGTTATTACATTTACTGAGATTTCCTCTGGGAAGGTCTGGCACGACTGCTGGAGATTTCTTTTGGCTTTAGAGTGGTCTTCAATCTAGAGATTGAGAAATATGAATTTCAACAGTTACTAGGTTCTCTTTGTCTTGCTTCCTTCCAAATGCTAATATATGCAGTTGATGAATATATTAGAAATCTAGGTTGCTTGCCCTGAGAACTTTTCTTATGTGTCAGAAGCTCAAGGTTATTTAAAATTAATCTGCTTCCTGACAATCTTCTAGAAATGGATAATCCTAGATCTACAAAAGACATCCAGAGTCCAATGTCCATAAACTACAATAGCCCCTTAGCCAACAATATTTTGTGAAATTCTGACATAGTCTTCTAAAACAAATAGTTCACAAGATTTTTGTTTCTGAGATTCAACACTATGTATTCACATAGAATTCTTGTTTACTTTCTATGACATTTTTTAGAAATCAATTTCCAAATTTACGAATGATCGTATTCAACAGATAATACATCGAAACAGGAATATTTTGATATTTCCAAACCTCAGATGTAGTAAGTTTCTGAGATTCAGTCCTGTAGATTCCAATAGGAACATCTCCAGTAGAGGAACACAACTTCTGATAAAGTCTGGCATAAGTTCTGATCCATAAGTCATCCTCAGTGATTTTCATCTATAATACATATGAATTATTTACATATTAGATGTTTAAGAATTAAAAACCCAATGGTTATTTTTCACTTCTTAAAGGCAGAATTTATTAATATTTTGAAATCTCAAAGTAATATTTCATAAATGCTTATCTGTATATTAAATATATTTATAGTACTCCACCTTAGCTTACCCTGGGAGGTTCACCCAAACTTGAGAAATCTGAGTATTCAATTTGGGGCAGTATGATATTATATTAGTTCAATACCAGTAGGCAATAGAGCACTGGTGATTGACTTGGAGATGTAAACCATGTGGAGACTTTTCTGAGTGTTGTAATAACTGGAGTCTGCCACTGGTATTCAGTGGATAGGGTCTGCTCATGCTATAAAATGTAAAATGCAAAAGATACTTCAGTACAAAAAAGCCTTGTTAAACCCAATGTTCTTCTAACATCCATATTGACAAAGGCGTGTGGCAGAAAAAGCACAGGGCTAACAGACAAGAAACATGAGTTCTAGTACCTTTTTGCTACTTGCAAATCTGAACTGTTGTTAGTAAGTCACTTCATTTAATATACTTGGACATAGTTATCCTCATCTATAAAACAAAGGGGTCAAACTGAATGATCACTGTTTTCCCAGACAGTATGGTACCCTATGTCTGAACCTGTCAGTCTCAAATTGTCCGTTAGGGAAACAAACAAACAAACGAACAAAAACCCTTGTTCTGAATTTTATACGGAATGGCTATTTTTATGATTATTAATTAAAAATAATACATTTCCCTGAAAATTTTTAAGGAATTTAAAAACCTCGATGCAACTCTTTGGACATACATTAGAAAACAATAATATATGACATAGAAGAGTTAGCCAAAAGACCTGGTAGATGAATTTCAAAACCTTCTATCAGAGCAATCTTCTATTCTAGAGATTGACTTACAGAACAAAGAAACCCTGATCCAGGTGTAGTGTCCAGTCCCAACAGAAGTCTGGTGATTGAAATCATATAATCCTTCACAAATGACTGCAGTAAAAACAAAATATGTATTTGTTATGTGTATGAGATGTACAGAACAGCTAGGAGTGTGAACAGCTAACCGCTTCCAAAAGATTACTTCTTATAACACATCATTAAGCCTCCATACAAAAAAATAATAAAAGTCTATCTTCTCAGTGTCCTAAATAAACACATACAGTTAAGCTGTTCATCAAGAATTATGGGAAATAATTATTATCTAAAAATATCTTGCTATGCTTACATTTTATGTGTGCTATTAGGCATATAAAAACATTTTTAGATTTTTTTAATAACAAAAAAATTACAAACAAAATGGTGAATATTACAAAAACTAGGAAGAATTAAAATCGATTTGCGATGAAAAATTTCAGTCTGTTTTTTAGGGCTAAGCTCTATGGTAGTAAAATACATTTCTAAACTATATTTATCATTCATTCATTGCATATATTCTCTTTCCACATCATTCCATGCTAAAATGGAGTGGTTTTTTTTTTTTTAATTTGAATCACTGCATTTCCTGGGGTAACAGTGCATCTCTTATGTTGGAAAGTTTGAAAGCTAGAACAGTCTTTACAGACACATAGACCATTTTCTTAGTAAAAAGTTAAAGAAAGGGTGATTGAAAATCATTTCCAGTATTTCAAAAACCATGAACAACCTATGAAAAGTCCCACAGAAGAGAAATTATTCTCTAGATTTTGCTAATTCTGAAGTCCTTTAGTTAAATGCTTTTCAAACAAGTCACAAAATAGTTACGGGTTATGGCCAGCAAATTTTTAAATGAAATAGGAAATCTTTCAATAAGACAGAAAATAATATAGCAGTTTATAAGCAGAAAGGCAAAGTGTTGAATTTTTTTTGTTTCAGTTATACACACACGTATGTATTGGATGGAGAGTGTTATATTTAAGACTTTAAAAACTAGAGTTCCAGTTTACACTTTCTGCAGAAGCTTCAGAAAACACCAAATTTCCTTTTTATATTTATAACATAAATGTGAGGCAAAAATGAAGTGAAAGAAAAAAACTAGCGCTTTCCACTTCTACAAAATAGTTTTCCTTCTATTTAACTTATACATTAGTCTTCTTTATACGATTTTATTCAGACATGGGATAGGGTGACTAAAAAATATCACTGGTGCATAATAATGCCCAAGCATTTGGTTCCTATTGATACAAAATCTTCAGTTTCAACATTGCTCTACAACAAGCCCGCCCTTGCAATCTAGTCTCTTTAAGAGATGAGAAGTATGTGTGTGGTAACGGTGTTTCAGGTGCATGCCCTGACTCCTAGGGCACCCAGATGATAATGCGTCTGGAAACTTTAGGGAAAAGAGGAGCATTTATTCTCCCGTGTTGTGTTTGCTCAGACACTCATCTGACACAAGCAGATGGTTCCTGACATTGCTGGAGGCGTACTCGTGGGCAGAATTAGTCCAAAGGTCAGCAGAAAAGCTTTTACTATCTTTGGATTAGTTTGTTCAGTCAAGCAATTATAGAAGAAGGTACATAAATAAATAATCCAGAAAAATAAGCAAAACAAAATGCTTCAATGCTTAATTGGAGATTAATGTTATCAAATTTAAAGCCCTGTGAATATCTTTTTCCTTTTAATGGAACTATTTAAAGATTGTATGATTACTTCAATCGGAGAATGTGAAGTATTACTGAAATATTGCTCAGTTTCTGGCAGAGACAAAAAAGATTATAATAAATTTGTGTGAAAGAACATCTCCATGAGTTTCTTAGCCATGATAAAATAAAAAGGTTAATTTGGAATTCAGGAACAAATTAAACGGTTCTTAGTTGTTATAAAATTGTTTTTATATTTTTCTGAAGAAGGCAATAATTGACAGATGTTTAAATTGTCCTTGGTTTATCATTTACCAACATCAATTTGATGTTTTATTTCAAATCTGAAAAAAGGTGTGCATTATGAGGAATGCTGTCTTTTTTTTCCTAATTTAGTAACTTTTTCTTAATTTTTTTTGATCCAGTAATATTCAAAATATATTAAAATGTCACAATAAACATTATAGGCCATTGGCAAAGAATGCCTAAAAATAATGTCCATAGATGATTTTTTAAATAATATTTTCTTACAAAATGTTTCATAGGAGCACTTGTCATTGAATACATGAAATGAAACATCCAATTACTTCCAGAGCCAATTTTAAGTTAACGGCTCCATGAAAACCACTGGATGTATTATTCATTTAAATAAAATCTAAATATAAAATAACCATTTTAGAGGGATAAAAGGAAATACTGCATACCTGATAGAGAAGAGTGTCCAACATGCTGATGCTAAATACCCTCCCAGCAGCAAAAGGCAGTCGAAACATAAAGGCCAAATTAGAACCTCTCTCCCGTTCTTTCTGCTCAAAAATTCGAGATAGAAAAGTTTGTGAGTATTCTACATTCTATGCATTTCTGCCTATGTAAATCTTCTTGACACGTATGAAAGAAAGTATTCTCATAATAGGGTTCTTAGCTATAAATGTGTCATTATATCACTTATAATTGCATTTTTTAAAATATCTAATTTTTCTAACCAAATTTTCTCAATTAACACACCCAACAGTTAAGAAGGGTTAATCTTTTCAAACATTAGATATTTATTTACTCTTCACATAAGATGTGACAATAACAAAGAAACAAAATCCTTTAATCAGAAGTAAAAAAAACTAAAGTCACATAATGTATCACGACACTTAGAAGAAGATTTGCCTTTAAATATTCTTATATGTGAGAACAAAAAAATAGGCAGGTAGGATCCTGCTGTGGTCTGAATGTCTGTGTTCCTCCAAAATGTGTATGTGACATCCTAACCCTTCGAGGTGACGGTGTTAGGTGAAGACTTCGGGAGGTGATTGTGTCATGGAGGTGGAACCCCATGAATGGCATAAATGCTTTTATAATAAAGAAAGACCCCCTTACCCCTTCCACCACGTGCCACTTGCGAACTAGGAAACGCCCCTCACACAGACACCAAACCCCCCGCCTCAAACTGTGAGAAATCGTCTGTTGTCACGGGTCACCCGGTCCGTGGTACTTTGTTGTGGCCCCAACAGACTTGTACGGCCTGTCGCCCCAGCAGTCTCTAGCTCTCTATCATCTAGTTTTGTTTCTCCATCTCCCTCTTAAATTGTGTCACACACCACTTTTCAGCTAAGCTGCTGTAAATTACAATAAAAAAATCATGTTTATGTGTATTTTAGTGTGTTTGGGGGAAGTGTTGTGATGTAGTTTCTTTTTAAAAAAATTGTGTTGTTTTTATCTTCCTTGAATAAATGAAGGCACGACAGCAAACATCAAGTTTGTTTGGAATGAGTTTCTTAAGAATGTAAGGTAACCCTTATACTTAACAAATGGTAACTTCAAAATTTCTAGCTTCTTCTGTTGCTAACTTTCCTTTATTAGGAAAGACATGTACAGCTAAGCAAATGAGAAATTAACCCTCACTTCTTGAGGCAACAGAAACAAGCCTCGGTTTCCAACATAGCAAATTTGAAGTACCTCAAGGAAAGGGAAGCCTCCCATCCTCGCATGCACTGGTTAGCGTCTAACTCGTGGAGAAGACTGTCCACATTGTAAGAGTAACCTCACTTGAGATCTAGGGAGAAAGTAAGGGGAAGACAGGCAAGTGGTGCCCCGTTTTCTGTATGTCCATTCATCATAATATATTCTGTAATTTATTGGTCTAGGTGTTAAGGGTGCTTAATTTGACATCTGAATCCTGCTCATAAATGTTATTTTAAATAGAAACACTAATTAAAATTAATTCCATTCACTTTTAAAGACCTCAAGCACCAATGTATTCATTTATATATAGATTTAGTCACTTAAAAAATATGTGTTGAGAATCCACTTTCTGTAGGCCATTATCCCCAGTGCTGGAGGTACAGAGTTCCTATATAGAACTAACACATTCTTACTAGTTAACAGAATTACTGTGTGTTGAATATGGGCCAGGAGCTAGTAAACGGATGTGGATACTTTCCCTGCCTTCAAGAACTCACAAAACTGTGAGTGGTCCAACAGCAAAACAGGCAAAAACACTCGGGTAAGCAAATGTAATAATGATAGAGCAATAGATTGGAAGGGCACCTAAGAGCTGAATTAGAAGTGATGTCTAAGTTGAGACCTAAAATTGAGTAGAAATTAGCCGGTAATTTGGGGAAGGGTGAGTGGTAAGTAGAAAGCTATAAGCAGAAGGCCCAGGATGTTCTAGAACCTGGAAGTGGGCAAAAAGCCTGAGAGAGCTGAAGAACTATAAACAATGCTGTGTGAATGTAGACAGCAGAGAGCCTGAGTTTATGGGCTGGATGGAGATGTCAGAAATGAGACTGGGGCAGTAACCATGGACTGGAGCACAGATAGGATTTCAGAGGAAAGGGGATGCAATTAAGAACTATACTGAAAACATGTTATAAATTGAGACTATCCCAGGAATAACAAGAGATATAGTCACACTACTTTGAAACCATGTTAAGTATTTTGAATTTCATCTTAAGGGCAATGGGAAGAAGCTAAAGTATTTTTAAGAGAAGGAGTTACATGATCAGGTTTTTAGAATGCTCACTTTGATGACAGCATGAACAATGGATTGTGAATGGGGAGGTGGCCTGCGAAAGCCGAGCGAGACCAACGAGGGTGTTAGTGCAGCAGTCCCAGTGATATTAATATTTAAACTCCCACTCCTGAGTTTTACCACCTGTGAAACAGGAATCATAATGGCATCTGTATCCCATTGTGATTACAATAAAGAAACAAAACACCTAAAACTACTGTAGATAGTAAGCCCTTTATAATACTGTTTCCTATTATAATTCTTTGAATACGCTAAATTATGCATCACCTAAAGAACTTTGTACAGCTTTCTGTCTCCCAGTAATGCCACTTCCCAAGTTTTCACTGGGCTGGTCTGGCGTTATCATTGTAGCTCAAACATTATCTCCCTCAAAAGGTCTTTCCTTATCACCTTATTCAACATAGGCCTTCCCCAGTTACTCTTGAATATAACCTGGTATTACTTTCATAGCTCTTTTGAAATCTATAACACCTTGTTAATTTTTTAAATTTATTGTCTGTTTCAGCTAGATCATAAATTCTGGGAGGACAGAGACCATTTTTCCTTTCTGTTACTTAAGCAATGCCTAACACAATGCCTGGCACACAGATAGTCAATGAAATTTTATTGAACAAATGAATAAATTTGTTTTACTTATAGTAGTTGCTTACATCAAAAGAAAATTTATTTCATAGTTTAAAGTTTATAACATTCATATGCAAAAAGCAAGAAACAATTTGAGGTTCACTTAGTATCCCTCTCTTATCACTTTGGTTCTTTCATGGAGGTTTCAAAATGTAAAGGATTGTAATTTTCATGTTAGCAATGTCTTTTCACTTTAGCATTTCTTTTGACTGTTATGTTTTAAAAAATAGATATTTCTATTATTAATTCTAGTACAAACATATGCTATGATTTATTTATTAAAACACATCATATTTACTTTCTAGTAGAATTCTACATTCAGTAGAAGTTTCCCTGATGATTTTGTGTTGTCCTTATAAATACTTATATAAAATACCTAAAAGAAATCTGAGACATTTAAACCATCAAAGATTTCAGACACTTTAATATGTTTGGTCTTACCTATTTTTTTCCATTTGTTTTGCTATTACGAGCATGTGTCTTTCCTGGAAGAAAGAATTTGTTTCTGGCAGAAATTTTGCTTCCTTTAATCTGTGTCCATCCAATACCATATGGAATGAGATGATAAAATTATTGGATTTAACAGAACAGTGTGGGAGGTGAAAAAAAGCAAGAGTTTTATTGGCACAAATTAGTGGTTTCTATGCCCTACTTTCTCGACTATAATTCTTCTATATTTCTTCATCCTTCCCTCTGGACTCAATCACAACGTAATTCCCAAATCTAGTGGCATTTTTCCAGCATTCTTTCTACTTGACCTTTCTTACAATGTTTATAGAATATATTCTGATTGTAGAGATCTGACTTTCTTTTGATATTACTCTAACTCAGCTTCCAGACTCCTCTTGAACTCTTCACTCATTTTCTCTCATTTGTCTTCTTCCTAGACTCTCCTTTATGAACCTCCACGTAAAGTCATTAACTAAACTCTCCATCCTTGTGGCTCTCTTATTTTAATAATTTCTCTTTTCTTAAGGCTTTACATTTATGTGTATAACTTTGAAGTATATCTATATATGTATATATGCACATATATATCTATTTTCATCCATTTTCTGAGCTACATTTATATATTAGCACCTGTTTATTACTTAAATACTACAACTTTAACATAATTAAAAATAAATAAATGTATCATCTATCTCACTAAAATCAGTTCTTTCCCAGAATTCTCTTTTTAGTTTTATTAACATAATCACCGTGCCAATCCTAGACAAAGCCTTTATTATCTCATGCCTGATTTATTGAAATGATTTACTAACTCTTTTCCTTTCCCCCATAGCATCCCTTTTCAGATAGAAATGCCACATCAATTTGATGAAAGCACAAGTGTAACGATGTCACCTTCCCCATCTTGTCACCTAAAAACCTGCCATGGCTGCGCACTCACTATGTAAATATTCCAAAGACAGCATTCAGGGCACTCCAAGGTCTAGCTCCCAGAATGCTTTCCAGGACGATTTCTCAGTACTTCCAAACACAGACTATTAATAAGTCAAATTGGCCGTCTGGCTAAATCCCGAAAATTTCTTCCTCATATTTTGGTTTCAACTCACTGTGGATAACACTGTCATCTTATAGAATCCACTGTTTGCAACACCAGCTCTACAGGTCCTCCTCATCTCCTAAAATACAGATTATGCTACCCACCCTCTGAAATCCTTTCATATCAACCCAGTGATGCTGCCCTTTTGCATAAATGGATAATTCTGCATTTATGATTTACTGTCTTTTTATTATTAATTTTCTTTACTGTGGGAAAAAAAAAACCCAAAGATTTTTATGACACTATTTTCAAGGCATACTAGCTTGAAAGTTATGGAAAAAAGAAAAATTTCCAGATTCCATCCTGATGAGAATACATTACACACTTTGTTTTTTTTCATTATCGACAATGAAGCATAAATTGTACTTTATCAGTGCCGATTTTTAATATGGAAAAATAGAATTGGTTAATGCTTATTGAGATGACTAATTCTTATATCCAGTTTGATTCTTGCGACACTATCATTTATCTACCTCTCTGTGTCTCAAAAAAACAACATATAGCTAGAAGTAACCAACTGCCAGCAATTAGTCTAAATCTGAACCATAGAAGAGCTGTAGTTGGCCTGTGTGAATTTAACAGTTTAGTAAGTTTCTAACATTTAATATAAAAAT